TGTCAAATTGCCTTAATTGGTGGAAATGGGCTGGAATGCGTTTTGAATTGATTTTTTAATTGTGAGTAATAGCGAGATCCCCTCTGTGTCTCTCCAACATACAAATGGTCGCATTCTACAGCTTAATGATCTCAAAGGTTTAAATGAAAAGTTTAGTTCCAATTTCAGTTTTTTCTTTTGCCTGCGTTTGGAATATTGGCGAAATATTGTGACTTTTATATTTGTTCTTTAAGCCAAAAATAATTTTTGTGTAAGGGTCTATTTAATTTTAAAATGTGAAAAATTCTCTTTCAGTATTGTTAATATGTAGGTATTTATTAAAATATACAGAGTGGCGCAAAATATGCTTTATTTTGCTGAGCTGATTATTAAAATAACTCTTAAGGGAATGGCTATTGTAACAGTGTACCAAAGCAAAAAAGTGTTATTTCGTAAAAAACTGGTCTTAATTTACCCAACAATTCAGCTCTCCCACTTGGATGAAAAGTCGGCATCTTTAACCACATGCAAATTCATATTTATTGCTGGATAATTCTACAAAACATACACTACATTTTATCGTTTTGAGCACTATGAAGGTAGCATTATATCAGGAGATAGAATAACCAAAGTTTTACAGAAAATATAAACCTTATCACTGGTAAAAGTATTACATTTTCTTCGTTGTAAACTTCATGCTTCGAATGAAGTTTTATCACCGTATCTGGATGCCATAGTGGGTTAAAAATTAGTGTGTTTTTGAACTTTTCCAGTGATTCGTAAATATACCAGCTTTGACTTTCCTTACTTCTTGTATCATTAGAAACCTACTGGTGTTTACGTGGACTCCTGGCCATAACCAATATTGTGTTTTTATTATTACGACTTCCATATGCCAAATATACTGAGACGACCAAAAATTTCGTAAATGCACGCATCAAACGCATCGCAAATGTTAATCAAAGAAAAATATTCAGAGATATTTAAGAGAGGAGGTGGATGTGTACACACGGGATAAAATTCAATGAAACTATTCAGTGTTATACATATACGTACTACACATATTAATAGACAATTTCATTAAATTTATTTCAATTATGACAATCATTTATTAAAAAACTAAATCAATCTCGTTTTTATCTCCAATCATTTTTTTGAAGAACTCATACATATAATTTACAATAAAAAAAACAGCCAACCTAACATGGCTAAATTTCCAATTTATCGTTGCTGTTAAAGAAAGAGCCTTGCTTTGCATTACATTGACCTATTTGGCTGCTAAGCCCTTAAAAGGTTTTGTGGGGACGAAAATCTTTTTTAAAAGACGCCAGATTTTTCTGCTAAATTCTATTGAAAAATATTTAGTTTTGTTCTTTAGTGAGCTTTATTGGGTGCGGAAGTACATCAGAAAAACACGATTATATCAAGTATAGTTTTATTAAATGTTTAGATTAAATGACGCCTGATGATGAATAAAACCTGTAAGCGCAGACGAAATGCACTCATTTCAACCTACGCTGATGTAAGCTAATGTAAAAGAAAAAGTGTTTTAAAAGGCTCATGCAAAACTGCGCTCGTTGAACTTCTTTGCAAGTTCACCAGTGTGTTTTTAATCCTATCCAAACAAAAAGTGTATTTTCTACCGGAAAGCCGGGTTCAAAAGAAACCGCTGTATTTATGTTTAAACGAAAATTCCGAGTAAATTCACATCCACCGCTCCAATCCCATTATCCTTATTCCAATGCTTTAATTGTAGCTCTAACTCAATTTTAACTCAATAATTCTCCGCAAGCAAACTCTGAATTTCGCCCGCGGTTTTACATAGAGAAGTACAGAAGGCAATGCTAAAAGGATATAGTTCGGCGAACATTGAGAGCACCCTCTTGCATACTAAACAACTCTAAGAAACTATTTGAAGCCGAGAGCTGGGGCATTCGCTTGTTTTTGCTCTATGGTTAGCGTTTTCTAAAGGCGATGGTAATTGCTGAAGAATTTGCCGGCAAACTCAATTTGGACTGCAGTACAAAAGTGCGCAAATTGCCACGGAGGGTACGAAAACTCACTGAGACGCCATCACGCAATAGAACTTTCTTACTCTTGAAATACAGTTTCACAGCACATTACATGAATAAGGTGGTAAAGTAAATATTAGGAAAATAAAAAAATAATAAATAGTGATATAATCCTAGGGATAATTTAAATCGTATGCAAATTACTATGAAGGCAGTTAAGGTTTGCGTACTAAGTATCTTTCCGTAGCTAAGGTTTGTACTTATAGTAGTAGGTACCTATACCTACTATGTACTAAAAACGAGAATGAATCAATTCAGTTAAAAAAAACTGTCGTCATTTTTTGCATTAAAAATTAGTTGATTCGGCAAAACTATGTTCTTTTCATAAACAAATACTGAAAGTAGTCTGTTTGGTATAAGGCAGAGTAATGTAAAATGTTAGTTTGGCAGCAAAAAATTTTTATATTAAAAAAATGTATCAATTTTTACATATAATTTCCATTCAAAAAGAAAAATACAGACCTTGCTGTATCGTTTTCATTTCTTTTCGTTTAATATTTATCACTTATATCAAATAGCTAAAAACTTAAATAACAATTTGGTTTCAACATCTAAACAGCTAATTTTTTATTAACTTTTGTCGGTTTAAAGCATAGATTAACGAACCTTAAACAGTGATTGGTAAATATATAAGTCAAATATTTAAGCTAAGCTAAAGAGGAAGACAAAAATGAGTATCGAAACCACTGAGATATTTATTAGACGTTTTCAAACATACATTTTATATGAATATTATTTTCCTGCTGTCGCTTTTTTAACTTATACCTGCTGATAAAAGATCAAATGTTCTCACCCCTTCGTTTTATTTCTCGTACTTCTATGTTATTTGTTTGTATTCTGGAAACTTAGCTCGTAAAACTCCGTAAAAGTCAGAGTCAGAAGACGAAATAAAAATGTTACCGCGGTACTACTCCCTGTATTAGTTTTCGAGTGTTCATTTCATAGAGTTTATTGAGTCTGTTTACTGCGAGCGAGAGAATTAAAATTTCAAAGAAGTTCGTTTACGCTCGAGGGCATCTTGTTGCCAATAGTTACTTGCAGGGCTTATGTGGGCTCTTTGAGATGCTTATTGCGAATTAGAGACGGAAGTTCAAACGTATGCCTCGGGATCCATCGGTATAAATAAAATGTGAAAATTTCTTGAAAGAAAATGCTTTGAACTTACTTACCAGGCAATGGTACACATATAATCGTATAACTAGTTTTGCAAGTTTGAAACGAGGAATAAGATTTTTATAATAAGCAAAGTTATAAAAGTTCTGAATATACCAATGCACTTGCAAATGCTAACAGTTATTACATCATTTTTACGGTATTAACCATAATTTCCGATTTAGTGTTTACTCCTTTTTGATATCTAAGACGATATACTCCTTTTTGATATCAATCCGAGAACTATTTTTAATCATATATCTTATTATCGATTCCGTTTTATTTCTAATTTTACCACATTCGATAATTCCTCCTGTGCGCTGTTCTGAAGTAATAAGAATGAAAAGTAATTTGATTCAATTCTGGATTGCTAGTAGTAAAATATCTTGTGATAGATAGCCTCGAGGTGCAATGTTATTTTATATAATTGAAATATACGATTCTTTGCGATTTGCTTCATGTAACTTGTTGTTTTTATTAACTTTTTAATTGATTGCAAAATCCTCGATTAATCCACTAGAATGGTTAAAATTATCTTGCATGACCTACTGCTGTCAATTTGTCGTCAAATGGTTTACAATTTTAGGACGAAAGCAAAAGTTTCGTATAGTATGCTCAAGAATATAAAAAAAATAAAATTAGTCACATTGGGAAGATTCAAGCGGAAAAGAACGACCCTTTAGTCTGAAACTCACCCTCGAATACGTGTTGGGACTTCTAAGGTGAACTTGTTGATCCCATTGAGGGTCATAAAATGAACATGGCAGCATGTTGCATGAAATAGTAAACAGGAGATAAAACTAAACTTCTATACGCACTTTCTATACACTTCACTATCGGGTACTTGATCGCAACCATGTTTTTTATTTAGATTTACGTGCTGTATAGACGATCATTTATTATTATTTGAAGCATTGCCATCACAGCAATTAAGTAAGACAAAATAAATGTCGACAATGTATATACAGGATACTGATTAGTGCGACCTGTATATTTATCGTTAAATTACGATGGATAGTGAAAACCTGTAAAAACGAAGAGGACTTAACTTTTACCTTTTAAACAATCAATAATAACATAGAAAACGTGGACTGAGGTTGTTGTTTTCCCCTTCTGCCACGCAGCATTTGTTGGCAACGGCAAAAAACTAAATATATTCATAGAATTACCATCGACTTCAGAACATTAATTCTAATTGAGCACATATGCCCGTAATTGAGCTAAAACCGTATAATTTCAATGTTATTGTGGGGGCTAATAACGCTGCTAAAGTAAAAGTAGTAAAATTAATTACAAATTGCTCTACACCTTACTTGCAAATGACAAAGATTTTTTCCCAATTTGAATAAATCCGTCCTCTCGATCCGAATCAGTTCCCTTATTCTCAATTTAAAAATTTCCGAACATTCGAAATCGATGCAGTTGGCTCGATAGGAAAATGGAATGACACGCTATTTAATTGACGCTCGTCAGTTGCAGATTTGCGGCAAAATGGTTAAAAATGCCAATTTGTCACCGATGGAAATTAACACACCATTTGATAATATAACAGTGTCGGCATCGCTCATCCGAGCCATCACTCACTGGAGCGAAAATTAACATGTTTACCAAATTGTGTTCAAAAATCGGTTGAAGGTTTTCATCAATCAGGATAAATTTGTCGCATTTGCAACGCAAAATTC